TCCTTCCGACCAGGTTTCTGTATATCATCGCCCAGAGAGATCTGCCTTACGGTAAAAATGGCTGTCAGCAAACTATTAAAACTGCCTTTTTAGCTGAAAGTTTTAGGGTTCACAAAAGGGTTATACGCTCCACCTTATCTCGCTTGGCATGCGATCGGTTACTCTCGTATTACTTGTTCCCTAAGAAGTTTAATCTTATGCACGTATGTGATCTGTTTGAGTGGTTCCAAATGAACCGCGGAATTCCAGACGGAGATCTGTCTTTGCTACTCAACACTGTTCTGAACTTTCGTCTCAATGCTGTCCCGGCAAAGAAGAAGGCCTCATTCCAAAGGGAAAACGCTGTTCAAAATAGCCGGTTAGATATCCTACTGACCTGGAATATGCTGACGATATTGTCCTAGTGAGTAGAACGGGGAATATGCAAACCAGCCGCGAAAGTCACTCTCTTCTTTAATAAGCGAAAACCACAAGTTATGAAGAACCCATCCGGTACAGCTGATCTACAAGTAGAACAGGAGGTGAAGCGGTTCAAGAGGTTCACCAATTTAAGGACTTCGGCTTTATCATCTAAAACGATGGCGCTATACAGTAAGAGTCAAATAGAAGTGGCCTATAAATCTGCCCAGTATTTTAGCTGAGAAAGGAGCATCACTTTTATCAAAAATCCTGCCTGTATCCTGCCTCTGTCAGATCAGTGGATCTGTACGGCATACGACAGTTGTTTTAGCGAATGAGCAAGAACGCCCGCTGAATTGCGTAAACAGTATTGGCTTTGATGAATAATGAGGGCCAGATGGGAGAACCACGTAAGGAATGACTCTATTCATTTCCGGGCACAGCTGTAGATTCAAAAAACAAGGTTGGCCTCGTTAGACACAGTGGCTGAGCATACACCGCTTACGCTAACCCGCGAGCTTCTGAGTTGGGAGCCGAAACACAGCAGACGGCGACCAAGAGGCCAACATGCAATATGGAGGAACAACGTAAAAGTAAACCTTTTCTTCTACGTGGCAGTAACCGGTGCCTTAAAGCAAAAGTGTTGAAAAGCTGCGAGATCAACGGACATTATAAGCCATAGATATTTTGCTTATGCAAGCAATTCAAGGTGATGAACTGAATAAATACACATAAAACAAACACATACAACATATAAAGACAAAGACTGAACTCTGGGACATCTTTATGAACGTATAGTTAAGGACGTTACTGAGGCTAAGGAACAGACTGAGGCAAAACTGACGAGGTCGCTATTCGCAAAAGTCAAGGTGGAAGTGTACTAAAATGATAGTTTCATTTCGTTTCAGTGATTGATAACCTGAACAGAGCTGCCGTCAATTAATAGCGATAACTCAGCAAGTGCATATGTAGAGTACTACTTTCTGCTAATGGTATTCAGGCGTCGCTTTACGGCGGTTCAAAAACTTGCTGTCAGTGGCGTCTTTGTACTAGAGGTCTGCAAATCTTTGGATCGAAGCGTACGAAAACCATTTTTTGCATACACTGAAGGATGCACTGGAGCGTCCCTACATTCGCATTAAAAGCGTTTGATTATACTGAAAAGCGCCCTGCATCTTTCGTTTTTGTCATTAGTGAGTCAGTAGTTCAGGAGTACAAAAACTATGATGCGCCTTTGGAAACACTGAAGCAAAATAAATTTGTACTCAGATGACATAAGGGAAATCAGTGGAAAAGCGACCATACGAATGAAGCCCATAACCCCAGCTATAACCTGTTGTTAACAAAAGGTAGCGGCGCTGTTTCATAAATGTA